TTACTATCCTAAAAGATAATGGAGGAAGAAGGCTTGTTCCTGAAGGCTCCAGCTTGAAATGATACTCTACAGAAGCTATTACTCATAAAATATCCCTTGAGGGGAAAAAAGAACCCCAATCCCCCCTACTTTGAATACATTGTGTCCTTCTACATGCAGGATGGATGGAGTTCCTGTTAGATAGTGAATCTAAGTCCCCTTTTCAGATAATTATACAAAAAGTATGGGGTTCAGGGCCAAGCAGTTTAAAATCCTGACTCTTCTACTTAGTACAATGAACCAAGTAACTTTAATTTCTTTGACATTCAGTTTTCCCATATGTGAAATGAGGATAACAAACCTATGTTCAAAGGCTACTGTAAGAAAGAAAAAATAAAATAAACTTGTAAAGGACCCAGCCGACAGCCTCACATTCAGTATCTATTCAATAAATATTTGTTGATCCTTTCCCCACAATCCTCACTCCACCAGTAGACAGATTCGAACATCACCTGATTAGACAAGCAAATAATTTTCCTTAACTATCCAAGTATCTTTAAGGCCCATTTCAAGCCCAGAAGTACATTCAATACCATAGAGAGGTATTTTAAGAGGCTACTTGTGCATTCCCAGGGACTGAGACATATCTAGGCCTGTTTGGCATTCTAGCAGGCCTGCTCTCCAGGGATCTTCCTGTGACAGGAGCCAAGATCTTCTGGAAAAAGTAATGGGAAGAAGTAAATGCTTACAGATGTGGTCAAAAGAAAATGGAGAAATAAAGAGAAGGAAATTTCAAGTGGACCACTCCAACCCCCAGGTCAGAGGTCAGCACTCTGGGATGTGGGAGCCAAAACGACAATAAAGAAAAAACTGCTTCACTAAGAACGCTCTTTCTGGGAGCTCAAGACAGAACTACTTCCTCTGGAGTCTATGAAGAAAAACAGGCTCCCTGGAAGTGAATGGCTCAGTCCAGCAGCTGCTGGACTAGCAAATAAACGTGAAAGTGCCTGGGTGACAAGACAAGAGAGGCTCCCGGCAGGCAGCCCACACCCAGGACAGAGAAAAGGCAGCCTAGGACTCCTGGCATCTGGAGAGCAGGGATGATGATGTGGAGAAGTGGAGGCAAGAGAGAGTTTGTTAACACATCCTGGGGACAAGGGTGAGGTCCACACACCAGCCACAGGGACACTCAGAACTGACTTGGAGGAGCTTGCCATTGGCTACATGAAGAGAGAGCTTGGGAAGTACCATGTTATTGCTATTTTCATCCTAAACTACTATAAGTTGGTAAATCAAGAGTTACGTGCCTTGAGACCAATGCCACCTCAGTCTGATTGTTTATTCAGAGCAAAGCGGAGAGAAAAGCAAGTGAACCACTATTCCCCATGCACTTACTATGTTTCAGGCACTGAGTGAAGATTTTTCTCATTTAATTCCATATAATTTCATTCTAAAGAGAAGATTAACAACTTCATTTGATTAGATATACTTCCTCAATAAAGGCTTTTGAATGAAAGCAAATTCATTTTGCTGATCAGGCTATACTACGTGAGCGTATCCTTACAGAAATAAATTAATCTGGAATTAACATTATGTTTTTTCATTGTTGTTTTCAAGCACAGAGTCTCATCCTGCCACCCAGATTTAAACTTTCTCAGCCACATCTGCAAGTTGGGGATGGTAAAAATAAGTAATGACAGGAGCTATTTCACACTGTTTTAAGGACTGAGTTTCTACACAAAAGGTGCCTGGCGCAAAGTAAGCACTCAATAAATGTTAGCAATTTTTATGTTTTATAACACTAGGCTCCCAAGCTCTGACGAAGCAAATAATGAAACAAATTCCGGGGAGTGTTTTCTCTACACATATATGATCTCCAATTTACTCTTGTAGTTGCATGTGGCCCTGGAACCATATCACATGGTCTGGAAGTTCTCTCAGACTTCCAATTCAAGCACCAACCTTCTGTGTGTGCTTCTCCCTCAGATAATCTTGCTTCCAAATTCACAGAGGAAACAGAAGCCACAGCCCTGCTACCAACCTCCTACTCAACCCCCATACACAGCATTATCCTTACCCTTCGAATTCTACGCACTTTTTAGAGGAACACACCTCCTACACAGGCCATCCGTTTGTTCTCCTGTGTTCCACATCCTGTCTCCTTTATGGATCTGGCACCAACATCCACAACCTGTACTTCCTTATCTTCAGCCTCATTTTCTTCCCACTCAGTACTTCCCCTCAGCCTAAAACCCTGCTAGAGATAAGGGGGGAGGGAAGGAAATACATTTTATTTATATTTTGATTGACTGACTTTAAGGATTTCGCTCTGTCACCCAGGCTGGAGTGCAGTGGTATGATTGTAGCTCACTATAGCTTTGAACTCCTCGGTTCAAGCAATCCTCCTGCCTTAGCCCCCCCAGAAGCTATGCCACCATGCCTGGCTAACTAATTTTTTGTTTTGTTTATTTATTTTTTAATAGACACAGGGTCTCAATATGTTTCCCAAGCTGGTTGCAAACTCCTATCCTCAAGCAATCCTCCTGTTGTGGCCTCCCAAAGCCTGGGATTACAAGTGTGAGCCACCACTCCTGGCCTGAGAGTCTTATATTTTAACCAAACCCTCCTTTAACCTCATTCACCTCTAGTTACAACACTTTATTTATCCCTCAATAGCCAGATTGCTAGAAAAAAAGCTCTTTGTACTTGCTATCATCTTCATTTCCCCAAATTTCCAATCTTTCATAGTATGTACTGTGACATCATTAGCACTAAATGTACTCTTGCTTTGGGTTCTAATGACCTCTTAAATGCAAAGTGCAGAAGACTTTAATCCTTTCTGCTTACTCCCCCAAACATGAATCACTCTCTCTTCTACATTACTGTGGCTTCACTACACTGCAAGTTTATAAAAGGCAATCAATCAATCTGGCATGGGTTTGACTATATCTAAGCATAGAGTACTGTACGTAGCCTATATTCACTGAATGAATCAACGGAAATAACGAGAGCCTTGAAGGCTACAATGACTTCAGTGTGCTATCCACTCTGATTCTATCTCTACTAACTATGTAAAAAGTTAAAATTTCTCTTACTAAGTGAATGATACCTTTGGCATAGTAAGATATACAAGGTGTAAGGTTCTAGCTGATCCTACTTCATGCAGCTCCAAGTAAGCAATCTGCCCAATGAGAAATCTGTTTATACTGGCAAAGTACTTCAGGGCTTAAGTTTTCAAAGTTTTACCCCTCTCACGGCACAGAAAGATGTGCAGGACACACTATTAGGCTATTAGAAATTGAACCCAATAGCCCTCCTAGTTTCTTTTAATAGACTTTCAGATGCAGTGTTTCATTCTTTCCTTTAAAAACAATATGATAGTAATTAAGCTGGAGTGCAGTGGCATTGATCTTGGCTGACTACATCCTTGGCCTTCCAGGTTTGAGCAATTCTCCTGCCTCAGCCTCCGAGTAGCTGAGACTACAGGCCCACACCACCACATCCAACTATTTTTTGTATTTTTAGTAGAGATGGGGTTTCACTGTGTTGGCCAGGATGGGCTCAATCTCCTGACCTTGTGATCCGCCCACCTTGGCCTCCCAAACATCTAGGATTACAAGTGTGAGCCACCACGTGCAGCCAACATTTTGTAATTTTCAAAGTAGTTGTGTAGGAAGATTTCCTGAATTATGAAAGCCCACAAATTCTGCAACAAGAAGCATCATCACAACAGAGAAATTGCTCTTGGTTTATTGTTGCCCACACTTAATTACTGTATTATAATGACAATGTATGAAATAAATGAAGTTACCATCAAAACAAACAGCATATTAAACAAGAAAAATGAATTTATGAATTAGTTTTCTTGCCTCTCAAACTCCCTTACGCTACACAAGCCACACCTGATAAAGAGATTGAAAGAAAATGAGAAATTTAATAATGAATAATAGTAATGTTACTACTAATAATAATTCTAGCAATTATTCTGGTATTACTTTAAAAATAAAAAATGTATTGCTTAATCTTTAGCTTTTGCTCCACAGCAAACTCCAATTCTTTCAGGACATAACCAATATAAAGCAGATATATTCACCCCTTATTTCCATAATTTTCTTGCTTCAAAATAGCAACCTAAAAGGGATACTCCACCGATTGTTTGTAGATATTCTGATTAAAGAAAAATATAAAATTTCAAGCATCAACCAGTTCTGCTCTATAATAATAAAAAACTATCTTTATAATAAAAAAGCTATCAAACCAAATAATCTGATTATCACATAATTTCTCATGAAAGCTGAAAAGGAAATACAATCATTCACTTACTGGTTCGTCTTTTGCCAAACATTTACTATGCTAAATGCTGGCAATACGGAAGGGAACATCTGCTTCATGCCCTAAAGATGCTCATAGTTAGCACTAACACTACACATCTGGCCAGGTACAATGGCTCATGCCTGTAATCCCAGCACTTTGGGAGGCTGAAGGGTGGATCACTTGAGATCAGGAGTTCAAGACAAGCCTGGCCAACACAGGAAAACTCCATCTCTACTAAAAATACCAAAAAAAAAAAATTAGCCTAGTGTGGTGGCACAAGCCTGTAGTCCTGGCTACTCAGGAAGCTGGGACCAGATAATCACTTGCACCCTGGAGGCTGAGGTTGCCGAGAGCCAAGATCATGCCACTGCACTCCAGCCTGGCAACAGAGTGAGACTACATCTCCACCCCGCCCCACAAAAAAATCCACATCTAAGAATCACATTTATCTTGAGTTATGGAGTTTGATGGACAGAGTTTTTTAAATTAATGTTAAGGTCTGGAAATTTTACTTTGGCTGTTAACCTTTGACTCACATAGATAACTTGGTAACTATGTGTTTACTACACACAAAAAGACTTTCTTGGGCCTAGGCATCATTTCTAGTAAATGGAGCTAATAACAGCTTTTCATCAGAGAGCTCTTTGTCCCATTTTTGTTTCAGAAATGGGCAACAAAAAAGTGAAACAACAAGGTGAAGATTTTTAAATACCCTGCCACTGGGATGTTGATGAGGTCAGAGACAAGCAATTTACCTTCACATGAAATTAAATTTTTTAAAAAATTTAGACTCTGAAGAAAGGATCTTTTAGTATGACATCTGCTACTACTCTAAATCTTATAACTCTGAGTTATTGGGAAGGTAAGAACATATTTTCCCCATAAAAATATGTTCTATATCATGTTTATGATCCAAGGTGAACTCACAAAAACCTGCTTTCTTTGGTTCCTTCAATAAACATCACAAGCCTGTTAGTTGGAAGGCACTATGCCAGTCATTAGGGATATAAAACCAAATAAGACCCAGCCTCTGTCCAAAGGAGCTCAGGGTCTAGTGGAGGAAACTAAATTAATGTTTGCAAGAAATGCTGTGTTTCCTAAAGTAGCCACAAGACGTTTGGGGAAGCAAAGAAAAGGAGCAACTTAGACTAAGAAATGGAGAGTCATGGAATGCTTTCCTTTAAGAGATCACATTTGAGCTGAATTTGAAGGCTGATTAAGAATTACCTACACTAAAACAGAAGTCACAGGTAGAAAGGTAGAACAAACCATATTTAGTGATTTGCTGAAACATGGAGGGGGCGGCACAAAGGAGCCTAGAATGATTCAGGTGTCTGGTTTGTATAAACCACTGTAGGCGCCATTCACAAAGAAAGGGATGCTAGGAGACAGGAGGGCAAAGATGAAAAGGTCATATGCAGAATGCAAAGCTTAAACCTGTGCCTCACATCTGTTTGGAAGCAGGGGCTTTCCACTTAGTGCTTACATCAGCAAACCAAATGCCTAGCAAAGTCTGGGACAAGGACAAGAGCTGCCCCTGGCACCAGCACATGTTACCAATCCCTTTGGGGGCGTCCCTGGCCTCCACTGTTTTGCCTCTGTTTGTAGCTTGTGCTTTGGTCTTGCTGGCAAGTGTCCTTCAGGGAGGTCTGGCTACCCACAGTTTACACATAAGAAAACTGAGGCACAGTGATCATTAACTGGACAAGAGAAAATAACCAGCAAATGGCCTTTGTCCCAGAGCCCACGTTCTTCACCAAAACACTGCCCGGTTTAAGTAATAGCGGCAATTCTGTTTCTTATGAACTTATGAGCCTCCCAAAGGCAGGCTCTCATTCAGTCAGGCATTGTAACCGGGGGCTCATATCCAGCTCCCAGTTGCAAAGAGGTTCTGCACCTCTCTAACTTCAAAGAATGGGGAAAGGGGCCCTGTAGGCGTGGTGAGTTTGCCGTTGGAATAAATATCTTGGACCCAAACGCTTTTGCGGAAGAGCAATTAATTCGAGAGAGAAAGAAGACAGCTCCCACGAGGTCGTGGGAGGGGACGCAGAGAAGGAATCTGTATAGGTAGGAGCATCTGGAGTTTTAATCCTTGAGTTAGTCCCTCCCCAGTCATGTTCTCGTCCAATGAGAGGAGTTCTTTCAAACTTCCTCTGGAGTGACTGATCTTTGACTCTGATATCAGATTGGCTACTTGGTCCACAACTCTTGAGTTATAGAGCCCCTCCTCCCAGAGTTTCGGCGGGATTTTGGGACAAAGGAACCCCACCTGGCTTTCCCTACCTGGCCCACACTTGCGAAAGTCAGACAAATAACTTTACATTTGAAACCCCTCTGGTTCCAGCATGGAGGCGTGGAGGAGGTGCTCAAAGGAAATCCCTGCATTTGAAACCATGCCCCTCGAGGACCCAGGAGGAGACACTCCTGTATAACACAGTCCTTCAGCATCCTGTGTAGACCACCAAGTTAACAGATGCTAACAGATATTCCCTCTCAAGTCATTGCTTTTAATCATGTTCTTTGTCAGATGCAAAAGGCCTAATTCAATACTAGAATTCCTCTATATCCATTATCAGATCACCTGGATAGCCTGTCCTAAAGGAATCAAGCCCCTCGTTGCCACAACAATAAGCTTTGTCTTTTTGTTCCATAAGTCAGCTTCCATCTTTTATATTCTGCTACAATCTGTTGTTGTGGTTAATTATACAAGACTAGCACTTGTATCAATCCCTAGTGGAACTGCTTTGAGAATCTGCAGACCAGACCAAATATTATGGGGCTTCCAAATTTTCCAAATGATTCCAATGTCACAGAATCACAAGATTCTGATCACTGTATTAAGGATCTAGACCTGTGGTTCAGATGAAAGACGAGCTTTATAAAGAAATATGTTGCCTGAGACCCCAATAGGTTGAAGATTGCAGGAAGCTGAAATGCTTCAATTATTCTAGTTAATGGGCTTATTCCCCACTGGTTATGCACAGCAGATTGAATGGACAGTGCAGGTGCAAACCGAGAAGTAAACAGACCTCTAAATAAGTAAAGAGCCAGAGAGCACTAGCTAGGGAAGCACAGGTTTCAGAATGAATTATTAAAGCCTGCACTGGTCCACAGCTGAGGGTATGACTGATTTCTAAGTGAAGACATCTTATACTGAACGCTGCTACTTAAAGGTAAAAATAGACTCATTCTTCCCCTGACTCTCTTTCTCCATCATTGGTGAAAAATGAAACAGCTATGTTGGTTTATAATTGATGTGTCTGACACTGAAATTTCATTCTATGTACTTCCATCCTCCGAAATGCACAGTAAGGGAAGAAGATCATCTTGACAGGTAAAACAGTAGGTTTTGACACAAAGTCATTAAGATATATGTGATAGAGCATTTTCCACTGAGACAAAATGCAGTTCTATTTGCAAGTTTATCACACGTTTCAAGTTTCACTTTGAAGAAACACTTTAAAATAAATAAATAAATACATAATGGTTAAAAGAGGAAATTGGTTTTTTTTTTTTTTTTTTTAGAACTACCCGGTAGAATAAAGCATACGATTTTGTATTTACTTTTTATAAAGCTATTTACTGAATAATATGAAAAGGTAGACAGTGCTTAGAATTCCTAGCACATAAGCGCTCAATTAATTAATGTGAATGACATATACACACAAACCAGAATATATAAAGGTATATAATCACTCCAACACTATGAATTCCACTTTAATTTTCCTTTCCCTGACAAAACTACTGATTGAATGTAAAAGTTGCTCTTTAATGTAGATAACACACTTTGTATGCATTTAAGAAACATTTGCTGAGCACCTGCTTTATATCAGCATAGTTCTCAGTACAGACAGAGCGATGAACAAGACACATGAGGTCTTTATTCTAATTGAGCTTAGTTCTACCCAGAGTGAGATACATAGTACTCAGAAGTAAATAAATAAGAAGATATTTTCAGCTAATTTTAATAATGTGGTGGCAATAAAACAGAATACCACAAGAGTGTGGAAGGAAGCGCTACTTTAGAAGGAATGACCAGAGAAGGCATCTTTGAGGCAGTCACATTCAACGGAGTCCTGAAGAATGAGACAGCCAAACACTAAAAAAGGTTTTTTAAAGTGCTGGGGGTAAAGCATGGGTAACAGCCAGAATTATATTCACTGCTTTCAGTAGAATACCAAATAAAATGATAAAATGATTTACCTAAAGAAGGGGTTCTTTTCCTCACTGGAGTCCCACAGTGCCTTTAGGGAGCCAAGCTCCTTATGCCTTTTTCCTTGCGCCCCGCCCCCACCCCAGTGTGCAGCTCGCCAGACGGCCACTGTACTACTGAGCAGTAACTCAGCCTTCCAGTGATGAAGAATGGGGGAGGCTGAAGGGCAGGGTGCGCAGCCAGCCTAGTCAGTCCCCCTTCCTGTCAGCAAACAGCAGCCTCCCAGAAGCCCTGTCCATAAATGTTCACACACATCTGCTCTAAACTGTCCCACAGATACAGTAAAGCTAAGGAAGTTTCTTGCTTTGAACTGGCATGGATGGGCCTTTTGTTGCCCCAGAACAAAAGAAAATGAAATTGTTAGTAAGAAGAAAGCAAGAATGGGTACCGGCCTATGATATGCCATGTCTGCTGACGAGGCAGGGCAATGGCATGTGCAGTCATTTGTAGAGTAACAGGTCTGGCCTGTAAAACAGAAGAATAGGGTGCAGGAGTGCAGGGAACACAAGGGGAGCACAGCCCAGGAAGACTGTGAGTGAAATGGAACACCGCGCTGAGGGCTCGCCAGGACCTAGAGCAGGGCGGGTATTTTATTTTTCCCTCCGCGAAACGTGGTCTTGCTATGCTGCTCAGGCTGGTCTCAAACTACTAGGCCTAAGAGATCTTCCTGCCTCCGCCTCCTAAGGAGCTGGGATTATAGGAGCGCACCACTTTTCCTTTGGGTATTACCTTTATTTTACAAATAATGAAGTAAACTCAGTAGGTTAAGTTGACTCAGCTAAATTCACAGATTAGGAATGAGAGGAGACGCAATTACAACTCTGCTTGACCTGACTCCTGAATTCATGCCTGTAACCCCTACGTTTCTGCTGTCTTCATACCCTGCCTTAACAATATGACTCTAAGCATGAGCTGACAGAATTCATTCTTCCAGCTTATTACCTACTGTCCTATTCACTCACATTTATCAGAGTGTTTATTTGTTCTAATATTTTCATTTATTTCAAATTCCATGTTTCTTCATCTACCTAATATGCATAAAAGAAAAAAATATTAAAACTGAAAATGACTATTTTCATCTGATGCTGAGGTATGGGGTGTGAAAATTCCCATTAGTGGGAAAATAAATTAGTGGGAAAATAAATCTATACTGCTCCTTCTCACTGGAGATACCTAGGGAGGGAGAAAAGACAAGACTGAAATTTCAAAGCTCCTGCCAGTTCTTCAGTGCTGAAACATTAATGAGCTTCTGAATTTGCAAAGGTGGGCCCAGCGCCTAAGGATGTTTGAGAGTTAAATTGCTCTGCATAATGAAGGAAAGGTAATTGAGTTTCCCGAGGAATCAGAGAATAAAGAGGTCTAGGAAAAGTGAGAAAGGCAGGGAGCTATGAAGATGGCTGCTGGCTAACCTCACAGGCCGTCTCCCATGATTTCCACATTACCAGCAACACTACTGCCAAATTCCTGACACAGAACTGATACCAGGCTCTTACATAGGAGACAGCAGTGACGATTCTGTGGGTAACGCCTGTCAGCAAGCATTGGAGAAACACTTTGAGATCACACCCAGGATAAACCATTATTTTCAAATCTGGGAAGAATAGAGATGGTGAATGTAAAAGAGCCCATGGGACCTGGCTGAGCTACTCTGATATTCTCCAGAGCAGTAGCAGACAGAAGGTGGGGCTCTTTGCTTACTCCTCTTGCCCGGAATGTTAGTACCATGCAGGCTAGGACCGTAAGACTATAACATCAGACAAGCCAGGTGTTCTAGCAATTGCTCTAGATAAAGCTCATTCTCTTTGCTGGCTTGCAGCACCACCCCACTCCACCCTGCACATCAAAGCAGAGTCCTCTACAAATGAAAATGCAGCATGGCACACCTGGCACAGTTCAACTGCAGGGCTCCAAGCATGACACATTATCTTCATTGTAGTTATAAAGGCTTATTTTCCCAAGAGGTTTCTTTTCTCGGGCCCTGTGGCGTTCAGCATGAACTCCAAACTCATTGAAGACTGACTGACTGACAGTTTTTTCTATGTGCTAAGCTGTTACATTGCTTTCCATCTTTACACATGCTGTTCCCTCCATTTCAGATGTCCTCTCTTTCATGTGGAACCCATTTTCATTCGATTATCTTTTATGAGTTTTTCAGAAGGCAATTCAGGCATTGTTTCTCCAGGCTGTCTCTGGTCTCTACTTTTGATTTAGACGGCTCGTTTATGTTCTCAGCCCCTTGTCTATGCCTCTACCTTGGCACATCATGCTCTATTGGAATAATTAATTTACTATCTCCCCAAACAGATGTACCCACAGAGCCAACAGTAAACCTGCAACAAGGAATCAAATACAGGTCTGCCCAATGAAAGTACGTTTCAAATGACAGGCTGGAATACGTCTTCCCTAATCCTAGTATTTCCTTTACTGCATAGCTAAGACTCTTCTGGCCTCTATCTGGATAGAGGTTAAGCCAATAGCGGTCTTCAAGCCAAAAAGTCCTATAAGTAGGAGTTTGCCAGGCAAAAGCACATGTGTATTTGTTGCTGGAGGGTAAAAGAAGTATTACAGAGATAACAGCCTGGGGGCAAGCTTGGAGGGTTTCAGGAACAGAAGAGGACAGTGTGGCAGAGCTGCGAGTACAGTAAGCGCGGTGAAAGCATGCTGACGTGTACCTGGCTGGCTAAGCGACATTAGTTTCTTGGTGAATCTGTCAGAGAAGGACTGCTACACAACCCAAATCTGTGGGAGCAATGCATCTAAAGTAAGAAAGACTGAAGTAATGCTACGCCACCATGACCATTCATTGAAAAGCCAGCAACTCCAAGCGGGCTAAGTGAGGAGAGAGTCTTACCTCAATTACCCTAAAAGAACATTCTAGAACTAGTTTAAGCTAACCATAAGCGTATGTGGGGGATGTTTCTGGGAAAAGAAGCCTGTCAGAGCCAGGCAGAAGTATCAAGTGGAATGTGTCTCAGGGACAACTTAACTTGACACTATATAAAGAAGTATTTCTGAAGACTGCAGCCGACTCATCTGAACTCTCCTGCCACATAAGTCATAGCAATTATTTTTAAACTAACAGAATTGGTATCCATGTTCTTGAATCATTTAAAATTCTTATCTCCTCTTTTTAAGAATCTGGGATTATTGTCTGTGTTACTCCTAAATCCAAATTTCACAAAACCGTGGAGTCCATGGTTTTCAGGCATCATTACAAAATAACCCAGCACTTCCTAAGAGCTGGTGGCAGCAACAATCTGAAACTTATGATCACATTTCTTAGTCACAATACGTACTTAAGTATCACCTCAAACCTTTAAGCACAATACAATGTGAGGGTTATTCACATGTACAGAGACTAGTGGTATGGTCAGTATTTCAACTATACCATATACCTCAATAATGAACAACTCAGACTTACCTCACTTATTACTAAATATTTGCTTCATGTAAGGGAAAATTATTTTCAGCTGAAATGGTAGAGCACAACCAGCTTCATATATATTCTAAGTGGCTTAAAGGCTAAGTACGTACATAATCCCTTCAGCAGTATGCCTCAATTACATTTCTCTAATTGTAGCTACCTCTTGTACATTTAATCACTTTCATCTATACTGTTGACCTAAACTTGTAAATATGCATATTCCCAGAACACATCAATTAATTTTTATAATTCTTTCATTTGAAAATATCCTTGGAACATTAATGGCTGAAGAGATGAAGGATGCCATGTTCCTAATATAATTTATTGTGACTGTTATAGTCAATGACTGGTTGTAACTAGGAAACTCAAAACCACAACTATATATGACTATAAAATGACAATGAAAATAATTCATTCCATACTTGTAGGCTGCTTGACATTTTTCAGCTTCCCTTGATTTTATAAAAAGAAATGACCTTGGCAATAATTAAGCATATCTAGTGGTAAGACTGTAGCTCACTGAAACACGGCAATATGTTCATGTCTTTAGAACACTGCTAAGCATTCATGAAATAGAATGAAATTTTATTGCTCTTCAACCAACATATACTTTTATTTTATAGGCTTATGCATATTCACTAAGAGGCCATTCTAATCTTCAACTGTCTGCATTCTTCTGAACTTAGAAATAAAGAAATCAGGACTCTGCCCTGCTAAACTTGGAACAGATCAGATTTTGCAAGAGGCATCAGGGTGTGCTTGATTTTTTTTCTTCCCAGCCTGTGTTTAATGGGAGTGCTCTCAATAAAAACACAATTCAGATTAGTTTCTGTACTCAATGTTTATTAATTTAGATGCTCTTTAAAAGAGCATGTGAACACCCTGATAAATAAATTTAGCTGCTGTCACTTTATAAAAGGACAAGTACAATTAAAAAGAAACAGGAAATAGGCAATGAGATAGAAGGTAAATGCTTATGAGACCTGGATGCTGTCAGCCACACTGCATACAACTGAGTGTGAGCCCTGCAGTGTCGCAGCAGAGGGCTCAGGGAAGTCACAGCTGGCCACACTTTAGGACCTTGGGCAGAGAAACACTGGCAGAGGCTCTGAGGAAAGTCAAAATCTCCAGGAATAGAAGACCACATGCTCAGAGATCTGGCGACATCCTAATAAGAAGAACATTCAGGACAGAAGGCACCATTTTGAGTTAGTTCACGTGCTCTGCTGGGTTTCCTCTTCTACCCCAAACCTAGCAGAGTCAACTCACATCACAAAATTTAAATTAAAACACAAAATGTTTAGCTGGTTTCTCCCAACTTAAAAAGGGGTTGACCTGTGATCCCAGGTGAGAGAAAAGGAGGTGTATAAAAATAAGGTTTCTCTCAGGAGGTGATGGAATGCCTTAGAGATCTGGTATTTCCAAATCACCAGGAACGGCCTCAGCAAGCCAAATCCTTAATGCTTAAATCTTTCCTCTTCCCATGACACATGGATGGGGGGAATGGAGTAACCAAAGAAACTAGGCCCAAAGAGAAAGTTTCTGGTGCCAGGATCTTTTCGGTGGGTCACTCGTTCATTTGCTCATACTGGATGTGTGTGCCTTGACACATTGTCCTAAACAAGGCTGATGATGTCTCTGCTCACATGGAGTTCATATGCTCGAGATGGGTGACAAACAATAATAATAAAAGATTTTGGGAAGAATACCAATCCTGAAAAACATCCATTTATCAGTCCACTCATCTACTGAACATAGACTACTGCTGTGCAGCAGGCTCCATGCTGGCTGCTTTACAAGTATACAAAGGTAATTAAAACACAAGCTAACTTTGAGAGTCAGACACACAGAGATGGTAAATGAAGCTGCGGGAATCAGCAAGGTAACCCACAGACAGTGTGTAGACAACAAAAAAGGTGGGGAAAGAACCCCATCGATATGGAAGACAGGAGTGCAGAAAGAAAACTAGGAGAGCGTAGTATCACTGAAGCCCAGGGAAAAGTGTTTCAGAAAGGGAGTTCTCCATAGGACATGTGCAGTTAGAGTATCCAGAGGACTGAGCAACATGGAGATTGTTGCTGATCTCAACTGGAGCAGGTTCAATTGAGTTATGACATGAACGCCAAACTACAGTGGAAGTGACAAGAAGAAAGTGAAGATTAAAAATGTAAATAATTTCAGTTGTAATTGTGAAATGAGAGATGATTAGAAGATAATTAGAGAAAGAGGTGGAACAAAGGCATTCTTTCTTTCTTTCCCCCTCCCTCCGTTTCTTCCTTCCTAAGACAGAAGACATGTAGTCACATTTAAAGGCTAAAAAAGCGAAAATAATCAAGAGTAGATAACTAGTAGAGTGAGGTCCATAAAATAATAAAAGAGTGAGCTCTAGAAAGCAGGAAGAGACATCCTTTCCTTTGGGGATTTCGGGACAGAAAAAGAGAGGTTTGCTAATGCTTTGAGGGGTGAAGAGAGGTGAAGGGTTAAAAGTTGAAACAAGCTCCTACCTTATAGCCTCAGGCCAGGAAAATTCCCAGGCAAGATTGTGTGCAATTGAAGAAGCCACCAGATACCAGTCACAGATTTTTAAGGTGAGCTTAGCTGACAAATGGTAAAAGTGAACAGAGGTCAGGGAGTGGAGAAGGTGGCTTATTTGTTTATTAAAGTTACCTACAGAACTATATATGAAATTTTTACAATGAGACAATAAAGAAATACTTGGGTAACAATAATTGACACATTTTGAAGTAAAAATTTCTACATATCAGTCTAAGTTCGGGGGAGAGGGAGTCCTGGAAATGCAGACATTACTGAATCAATAACTTCAGTAACTTAAGAGGGCTGTATAGAAGTAAATGGATCTACATGTGCACATCTGAATGGAAGAGATCAAGAATTTAGGTCGAGAAGGGTCATCTTCAGTGACCCACACCCCAGTTACCTAACATCAGGTAAACTGCTTTGCTGCACTGTGTGCTAGGTACTCCTTTTTTATTTTGATTATTTATTTATTTATTTAAGAAAAGTACTATCTGTTTTCTTGCAACTCCTCAAGGATATAATGCAGTGTACATATAATGCTTCTGGGCAACTTGGAAAGTAATCTGAGAACATCAAAAGTCTATATTGAACTAGAAAAATCCCCTGGACACAGGCTGCAGCAGGCCACACACTGGCATGTTCCCTTCACATGCCTAAAGAAAAAAAGGTACATATTTGTACAGGGCTCTTTCAGATGCATTTCCCTCACCTGAATCATTTGTTCCAGTATGCATGGCTGAAACCTAACCTAATTAGCAGGAGGGTAACATCATGCTGCCTGAACACACATGTAAGTCTGGTAACACCCTGTGCACTGTGTGAAAAAGCATCTTATCTGTTGGCATAACCAAAATGTAAGCCCTTTATTTACTGAGTGTCTGCTAAATCAACATACAGCCTTCATATTTTGTCTGTTCCCCTGTTAATTCTTAAAGGTTGTTGGGTCCTAGAGTCTGGGAACCATGTTAGTCATAGTGCTTGTGCACATGTAAAGTACTCAAGATAATGTTTGCCTATGACATTATTTGTTTAACTTGCTATTGGCCCAATAACATGCAAATATGTGCTCCATAAAAGCCACTGATGGTAATACCTGATCGCTAGGAGCCACAGGATAACTTAGTCATTATAGTTTTGTTTTTGAGGTGAAACATAAAATTAACTACTTTAAAAAGAGCAATTCAGTAACATTTAGTGCATTCACAATGATACACGACCACCAATGTATCCAGCTCGAAAACATTTGCATCATTCCAGAGGAAAACTCTATACACACTGAAAGCAGCTCCTCTCAGATCTCCCTTCCCACAATCCCTGGCAAACACCAATTTGCATTCTGTCTCTAGGGATTTATCTATTTTGAACACTTCATACGAATGGAATCACACAGCATGTGACCTCTTATGTCTGGCTTCCTTCATTAAGCATAAATGTATTCTGGGTTCATCCACGTTGGAGCATGTATGGGTACTTCATTCATTTTATGGCTGAATGATATTCAATTGTATGGATAGATCACAATTGGTTTATTCATTTGCCCAACAACAAGTATTGTGGCTGTTGCTACCTTTTCACAATTGTAAATACTGCTACTATTTACAATACATGTATATGAG